ACTGAGCCACCCAGGTGCCCTAGAGTTTTATTTTTAGAAACCCCAACACACACACAGGACAGCTGCACCTCAGACCCAAGATGGTCTCATCACTGCAGAATTCCTCAATCCTCAAAGTTCCATGATCTACCTTCCATATCTAGGTTGTAATATCATTTTTGGCTTATTTTAACTCTCATTTTTCTCATAGGTTCTCATTCGGCTACACACCACTTGTTCTTTGTTAACACAACTCCCACTTCTTCAGATAAAAGCTGGGGTTTTGTTTTTTGTGTGTTTTTGTTGTTGGTTGTTTTTTTTTCCCCCCCTACATCGAAGTCTTCTTATCAAGATTCAGAAACAGTTAAAAGGGGACATTTGAAAATATTTCTGAATTTGGTTACTAGTCTGCTGACTCCCCAACGGAGAAACACGGAGAATTCGTGGAATATCATTCAGACTGCTAACCACCCCAGAGTTTCTAGGTGGAAATAGAGGAAAGTTTGTTTGGTGATCACAGCTTCTCAATATTTGTATCTTGGCGTATTTTTCCAACTTTACCAAGCACAAATCAGCCAACAGCCGAGAGCAGCATCAGCACGTACACAGTATCCAGACCCACCACAGAACACAGGAGGCACCAGCCGGGAGGTCACAGCGGGCCCCTTTGCTTGTCTCTAGGCTGGGCATTTGCTCAGAACAGCACGGTGGCAGAAAGCAAACTTGAAGTTAGTAATTTTTGAAGGTGGAGGATACACTTCAGGAGGAGAAAAAAAGGGATTACCAACAAGTACCCCCTATTAAAAATCAAACACTTAAACGGAGCAGAGAGCTGTATGCTCTTCCGTAAGGCAGGCATATCCGCCGCCGGCTGGTTTTATTAATGTATAAACCTAGGTGTTTCCGCGCAGCCCTGTCAGTCAGTACACAGGACAGCCCACTGGACGTGTCTACGCACTCTCCGCGGCCGGAGCCAACAGTAACGCTCCTCCCAGCTGCCTCGACTGCGGCCACACAAACTACAGTCGTAAACCTACCTAATCTTGTTAAGGATGTCAATTCCAGACTGCTCCAACAGGACGTTTTTCACAAAGGTACGTGGGATGGAAATCTTTTCAGTGCTGGCATGAATCAAGTCTTGTCGAATGTGGGCTTTCTTCATCACGTTGGGACAAAGGTTCTCGGCGGCATCGACCATGGACTCAAGCAACACCTGAAACACAGCACAGAGGACGGGAGAGGTGACGTCAGGGCACAGC